AAAAAACAATTTTCGTGTAATGATGTTTTAATGTCATTTAGATAAGTTTCTAGTAAAAATTCTGACAAAATTCATAGCTGCAAAAGCGTCTGAAAACATACTTTAAACATCAAATAGGAAATGAAAAGCAAAAAAAAAAACAATGACGACCTCCAGAGCAAACAAACAAGTTCTGTCTGATAGAGTTACGGCAACACTATCGCGTTATACTTGTATAGGAGTTTGTCCTCATCTCTTTCTCTTGCAAGCCACAATCCCGTCCTTGTTCAAGTATAACCTTCCCTCTTTCTGCATGAAATACTGCCTCAGGATACGGTAACTGTCTTCCTCGAGGTCTCCTTTATCCGGAGAACCAATCCCGATCCACCTTTTCAGCGTTTCATGCGATCATTTCTCTGCGCCCTTAGAAGATCCGAGAGTCTGTATCTCGCCTTCAAGTACCGTCTTCATGAACCTCATCTGACTATTCAGCTCATTGGCTGGTGTGTGTCTTCTTCCATCTTAACGCACCAAATCTCCGCCAACGGCTGTGTTTCTTGCTTGAACGGCTGAAGATCAGTCCTGACTACTTCTTTTTGTGACAACAGACTTATCGAACGTTTCGATACCGCTATTGTTTTCCAAATCATCTGCTGCGTTGTCAAAGGACTTTCTCACTTGGTATGAGGTAGCGATCACTATCAGGGTCCTGGGAATATTCTCTATCCAGACCCCTTGCACGAGTTTCCACTAGTAGTGTGTGGATCGCTAATTCGGACAGTTCTGATCCCGAGCTCGAATTCCTGTCTGAGTAGGTGTCAATTCCTGAGTTTCAGGGGTTGGTCATCTATTGAAGAGGTCGTGATGGAGTCCTGCACCCTCCTCCAGATCATGTCTGTGCCTTCTTCGCATCCATCTGAACTATCCGGACAAAACTTTGTTCCCCAGGTCCTGTTTTCCATCAGGAATTTTCTCGTCTATCTCAGACTCCCCGGACAAACTTTCTTGTCCCGGGTGTTGATCTTGTGATCGCTGATTTTTTCTCATCCATTCGTCTCCCCGGACAAATAGTCTTGCATCAGATTTTGTTCTACCTTTTCACCTTCCTTATCCTGGTCCACAAAGGTGACGGTTTTTCTTTTGCTTGCTGCTCCCCTGTTCTTTCTGTCCGTAAGAAGTACTGGTTAAAATCTCGTGGGGTATTGAGGATACTAGTTGCTGAACTTTTGTCCTACAATCCCTCTCATTCTCTTCGTGTTGTCGTCTGGACGGCATGGTCTTTACCTTCTCCCTAACTGTTAGTGATGCCACTGCTGCTGTCCACTCAGGGTCATCTCCTGGTCACTTCTCTTTCTAACAATCCACCCAGCATCTGCATCACTTGCGGTGTGATCTGCACCGTTTTATCCAATAATGAGAGACTGTTTATGTTCATGCGAGAGAGTTCTTGCTGGACCAGGTGTGAGCGCAGCAATAGATCCAAGGGGACCGGGGTCCCTCCTTGGACGAGGATCTTTATCTCAGCTGCTTTCTTGACAGGTAACTCAGGATGCCCTGGAATTGGATGTCCACACTTATCCAACCATCTCGTTAAAGGAAGCGCTTCATAAGTTTCCTTGTCCAGGAAACGAGAATCCCTCCTTTATTTCTGCTTGATTGGCTTGCTTCTGTTCCAATGTTTTCATAGAACTCAGTTTTCTTACTGAGGCTGTCAGCATTCTGGTGTTTATCACGCATCCTGTGCTCGATTATCATGTGGTAGCTATCCAATCTTACTATCCATCTACCAATATAACTCTGATCCATCGAGTAGGGTCTTCAACCAGGATAACGCTCTGTTGTCCACGCGTAACTTGAAGGGAGCGCTCCCCAAGTATGCACGGTACTTTTCACGAAAGTGACTACTGCAAACATTTCTGCCATGGTGCGCCATATTTCATCTCTGTGTCACTCAAGACCTTGCTGCCGTATGCAATGGGACGGAGAACCGTTCTTCCATTCCATTCTTGCTCTTGATGCAATATTCCTGAGGTGGCTACTACCGATGCGTCTGTATCAAGAACATACATGCCCTTTTCTGTAGGCATGCCTAGCACTGGCGCTTCGCACAGTTCCCGCTTTATGTTCTCGAAGGCAACTTGTGCTTCATCGTTCCATTCGAACTTCTTCCCTTTGTTGCGCATCAGCTTCTGCATCGGATACACCTTGTCCGCATATCCCTTTATGAACTCCCGGTAGTAGTTGGCAAACCCTAGGAAGCTCAGGAGCAGTGTGTCCGTTCTGGAAGCCATCCATGTCAACACTGCTTCTACTGCTTCCGGGTCCGGCATCACCCCATGCCTGTCCACTATTCTTCCCAGGTACTTGATTGAATCCATAAGGATTTCACATTTCGATGGTTTGCACTTCAAGCCTGCTCTTTTCATGCATCCAAAGACCTCACCGAGCCGATCAATGTGGTCTTCCAGGGTTGGTGTCGCTATGACCACGTCGTCCACGCAACACATCACGAGATTCCCGTACTTCTCGGTCACTCCGGTCAAAGCCTGAGCCATCAGTCTTTGAAAAGTGGCTGTTGCGTTGCACAAGCCGAAGGGCATCCTCTTCCACTGGTACAAACCCACCTCACGCGAATTCGGTCTTTTCTCTATCTTTCTTCTGCAGCGGGACCTGCCAGAAGACAGAACCCAAGTCCAATGTGGTGAAGAACTTGGCATCACCAAGTTTAGAGAGGCTCTCGTCTATTCGCGGTATCGGGTACGCATCTTCTATCGTTACCGCGTTCAAGTAACGAAAGTCGCAACAAAACCTAAGCTGCCCCCTTTCTTTTTCGCCATTACTACCCCGCAAGCCCATGGCGATTTTGAGGGTTCTATCATAACGTATTCGAGCAACATTTTTATCACGCTTCCGACTTGTGTGGCGTCATCCGTCTCGCGCCTTCTCCTTGCGGAACGGCACCTTCTTCATGTTCAATTTCGTGTTAGACGAAGTTACAGCAACCGATATCCGCCTTATGTTTTGAAAATACATCTGCGTTCCGATTTAAGACGTCCCGCAATTTTTCAAAATCTCCCTCACCTATTTTCCCTTTTAAATGTTCTATCTCTGGCAAAATCGGTTTGTCAGATTCTAGTTCATGTGACGAGGGGCGTTCCGGAAAACTCGAGCAGCTCGATAAGCCGTCGTCCGTTTCGGACTTCATTGAAAACTATTTTTGAATAGATTTTATTTCATTTATCCTCTTTAAAATTTTATTTTTATTGGCATGATAAGGACAGTCTTTCACACTATGTTTCTTCAAGTTTTGTGTCTCCTCATAGTCGGTCCTCATCGGCAAAGCGTAACCAAGCTTCTTTCCACGCTGGATTGAAACTGTGGTGTCCAGTGTGTTCAATAACACACTGACACACAGTCCGTTTCGCGTTACCGAAAAGCTCCGGCCCAAAATCACCGAACTCTGACTAATTGGATTCGATACTAAACAAACCTGTTAACTATCGCTTAACGAATTCAAATTTCTCATTCTAAAAATTGCCACCACAGCCTGTCCTGGCTGTAGTTTCACTTTTCTATCTAAAAAAATTGGTACCTTGCTTTCGTCTGTTATTATCCTATTAATTGGTTTCTTATTATACTTCCGGTCCGGGTTTCTAATCCGTATCAGACCGTTGTTCAGGTCAATCATCACGTCAAAATTCCTGACAAAATCTCTGCCTAAGATGAATTGGTCGGCGTCGTCCAAATTCTCTACCACCAGGAAGCTCATCCAAAGATCCCGTCCTCCCATGTGGAGAACCGTTTTTGGTGTTCTTACGGCTACGTAAATCGCTCCCTTAGATCTTCCCTCGTGAAGCCCATTACTTCCCAAGTTTTTATCGGCATCACACTCACTGCCGCTCCTGTGTCCAGAAGCCCTGTGACTCCGATTTTCTTTCCGTTGGTGTCGAGCAGATGAGCCGTCACATCTGCTTCATACCCAATGTGTACTGCATCTTGTTCCATCGTGGCGTCATGACCTATCCTGCGGACTTTGAGTTCCTCCTCGCCCAAATAGATCTGTCCTATTTGGTCACTATCTGTTGTTACATAAGTCCTAGTGTAGATACTGATTCCATCCACGTTCAGCATCACTTGATACGGCCCATAGACTTCCACGTAGCGTCCATGAAGTTTCTTTATGCGAGGGCCACCCGTTGTTAGTAGTGCTCGCGCAGCTCTCGACTCAGTGCGTGGCTCCACCTGCCTCAGATAATCTGCATATTTCACTCCTGATAAAGCTTCCTCATGCCTTGGATGCTTGATGTCTGCCACTTCATCCCAGAATTGCGGACAATCTGATTTAAAATGACCTTCCAAATTGCAAAAGAAACACCTCGGGCCGAGTTTCGTAATTACTTCTCTCATGAAATCCTCATGGTCAACTTCTGACGCATCTTCGTCCTCGAGGCTAAAGCCTATTGCTTTCATGCCTTGTTTGTAAGTTGGGCATGCTGACACATGATGGTCCGTTGAACTGCAATTGGCACAAGAGCGTCTCTTGTCCATATCATCCCTCGGTTTGTACCAGTTG